TTTCATCACATGTCTAGTTATTTATTTAAAATATAAAAAAAATTTAGCACAAGGAAGAAATACCTTACTTAAAACTAACCTTAGTTTTATGATGGCCTAAAGTAAATATAATTGCTCATAATAATTAGGTAAATATATGAGTATGTAGTTGAAGTTGAATCCAAACATAGTTTTATTTAAGAGTATTGAAGAAATTCAGAATCGACGTAATTTGTGAAATTTCATAACATAACTATGATTTAGTAAAACAAAACCTCTATCAAACGATACTTGCTACTTTATGTGTTCCTCTGTTATATATCATTTACACACCTGATATTCCACAGTTTCGATATTCGGACTGCAACTTACGCTGACCATAAAACTATCTTGACAAGACATCAAAATCCAATATACGCCTCACATACTCTAGAATATCGCCTAAAAATATTTCATAACTGGTGCAAACTCTGGAAAATTCGACTCAACCAACACAAATTATAACATATTACATTTACCCTTCGACGTGAAATGTGCCCTGCTATTCACCTCGACAATGTCCAATTTACTTTGACATTTGACAGAAGAATGGTATGAGGCCCATATACTAAGAACATAATAAAAACTCTATAACTAAGATTAAGACTATTATACTCACTCATTTCAAGAGATTCGAAATAAGAACAGACAGAAATTGAATAAACATTTTCTTATACTTACTGGTTTATAAAGAGAATTTTAAGTTTAATCTTCGCTAAAATATTTCATTTGGAAACATATATTTTTATAACCCAAGATATGTTAAAACATTTCTGCTTCTCAGGTTTCAATAGTAACGAAGTCAGTTTCTTGTTGGCCTTACAATAAACAAATCTTTTTATTTTATGATTACCTTAAGGTTTAATAAAGATATAAATAATAAAGTGGACATTAAAAAACTGAAAACAATAACACACTCAAATTCAACATAATGAGATATTATGTGTAATATAAATAGCAAAAGAAATGAAAAAAAATTAAATATAAAACAACACATCAAGTAGGTCAAATAAGCTGAAACATTCTTCTTTTATTTTTATCAATTAAAAGCATTTCTCCATGGATTGTTTTTGTCTTCCCCTCTATGCTTTAGTACTCTGATACCAGATCGCTCCAGATACCGCTCAGAGGAATTCCCTGTCAAATCTTTCATTCATTCTTTCAACAGTTTTGGTTAGAGTCCTGTTCTCACAGTCGTACATCAGCACTGCCTTAATCAGGCATATGGCCAATCCTGTTCGCCCTGTGCACAGGATTATCACATATAATATTGGATGTACATTTCAAACTTTTTTATTTATTTTTTATATGATAAATTTATTTTTTATTATTATGATATATGGAAATATAAGCTTTTTTTATAAATATTCAACTGAATAGCTACAATAATTAATACATTAATTACTTATCTTTTTCTCATTATAAAAGAAATTAAATACCGTAAATCAAACTACCGTGATATTTTACTGGAAGGAAACTAGCAACAATATACTCTTAATTCATAAAAGAATTTCATTAGAGAAATTCACTTCCCTTAATTTCTACCCCTTCAACCGATGAGTACGCTGAATCCGCATTCCTCCCTCATATCTTTCCGCCATTGTTGAAAACGAGCCCGCACGGAAGCAGAGTCTTGCGGGTAATGTATTCCGGTCTATTAGGAGTATCAACCAGGGATAGATCGATAATAATCCAGATTATTTGTAATCATTTACATATAACACTGTAGTTGATCTATGTCTCATTACTTTTCTGGGTTTTTGAAGAAAAAACTTGACTTGACGTTTAATATTTTATTTTATGGGTATCGAATAGGAGTGGACCGTCACGCTCGGTCATGTATCGCCGATACGTGTAAATTTAGTCCGCGTCGACTAATTTTTGCAATTGGATTACAATTTCTCAGAAACTAAAAAACGTACCTACATTTTGTAAGTGAGAGAAATGTTCAGTATTTCAGCCTCTTTATTATGAGGCTCGTAAGGTAATTCGAAAGTGTATTTTGAAGTGACTGCGAGTAGACTACTGCTTTGAACATTTGAACTTAAAGATATCTCAACATTTGAATACCATGGAGATTTCATAAACCATTTTCCATAAGTCAATATATAGATATTTATTTTAATTAACCGTAAATAAGAAATTAAGTGTTTCAATTCGATTCTCTGTTGAACTTGGTAGTGTTTCGGAAAATTACAGACCTCCGTTAGAAAAGATTTATTTAACAAATGTACTAATACTTCATAATTGTCTGATACTAATTGAAGTCTCATTCTATACAAAAATATAAATATTTATATACAATTATAATCGTATATATTGGAAATGCTATTACTTTATAAATAAATAAAAAATCTATAAATCATATTATTAACCTCACCTTCTTGAGGTGTTCACTTCTATTGTGTAATCTTAAGCACACATCATAGTTTTTGTTTTTAACATAAGACAGATTGTATGTATTTTCATAATAAAAATATTAAAATAAACAAATATTATAATCAAATAAATTGACAATATATCACAAAACCTCTAAAATGCTTCTGATACTCTTGACTCTGAAGTCTCCTGCGCTTACAAGTTTTATTGATTGTCCATTGAGATTAATAAATATGTTCTGTATTTAGCAACTCAATATAATTTGGCAGCACTCTTCTCTGAAAACAAACCATTTTCTGTCTCTCATCTCAATCAAGTAGGAGTGATTAAACTGCTCACGTCTCCTTAAAAAATATAACTTATTCAGTTGTTTTTTTTTTCTGCCGTGAAACTTTTTTTTATTTGTATTTTGAAACTATAAACAAAACATAGTTTCTGGACACAAAATTCAATTAATTATCTAGAGTAAAGTACAGATTTGATAAAACTCGATATCCTCTCTGTTCGAAGTCTTATTTAATTTTAACCATTCCTGATCCAAAAGCTATCTGATAATATTGTAATAAAAACAATAAAGAAAAGTGGTTTGGGTGCATATTTTTTTTTATTTTAACAATACTTCATTTTCGAACTAATTTTGGTTATTATTCTCAACATTATGAATCTCATATGTATATATGTAAGTTTGCTACAGTGTACTATAACACTGTTGCAACCTTCAGTGTGTTATCATTTGTGTTACTTAATGGCACATGATTTAAATAGTGATTATTAATTTGTAAATGTACTATTAATTTGTACAAATACGTCTAATGTAATTCTTTATACAAAGAATAAAACCTCGTTAAAACAATCTTATATGTATGTATGTATATATATATATATATTCGAATTCCCTGTAAACAACATACCTTTTTACCTGCATTTAATTAAAAAATTAATAAATTAAAGGTCCATATAGTCGGATAATTGCGTCAAGTAATTAAGTAACAATTCAGAAAATTAAATTACTAACTAGGTACTTTGATGAATTTTACCTCTCAAATTAAAGCATTAAATATTTAATGTAACAATTTTTGACATGATAGGATTTGTTTTATTTCTTGTCACTTAATGAGTTTTAAAAACGATAAATATTATGGAAATTGACAAATATATACATAAAAGTTGTTTATATATTTATTTAGTTTTAAAAAATTAATATGACGGGGTTGACAACGTAATATAGAAAGATTGATCCCTTTGATTGTTTTTTTTATAATTTCATTTAACATTATTGAAATTTAAATTATCATTAAGGAAACAGTATTTGAGCCCATTTGCTGATAAGCAGCTTTTTGTTTGACAGGCTCGGACCAAAATACATAAGTTCAAAAAAGATTTATTTTTATTTTTATTTATTCATGATATTTAAAACTGCATTAATAAATAGAATATATTTAGTAAATTTGATGACAGAGAGAGAGAGAATTACTGTATTATCATACGATAAATATTAATAAATAAAATGGTGCTGCCCAATTACATTGGGTTGCTAACAACACAGCATAAGTATTAATCACTACAGACAATATTTAAAATTATTATACAATTATATAGGATTAACAATATGTATGAGCATTGTATACAATATTTTACACATATATATTTTTTTTTCCTTTTTATTTTTATTAAATAAATAATAACATGTAATCACTTGTTGAGAAACTACCCACTGGTAGCACTCTAAAAACAAAATGTATTTACAATAAGAGATCTCGGGGCCATCTTCTTTTTAGACGCCTCGGAGTGTTATCGGGAATAGAAGAGGAAGGAAGGTTAGAGACTAGAGGATTAGGATGGTTCTGAAGTTTATTATGGAAGGATTGGTATCTGGATTGGGCCAAATCGGAAACATAAGGAACATTAAAATTATTATGGATTATTTTATTGGTGACAAAGTAAAGAGCATTGAGGATTTTCTGAAGGATTTTGGATCGTAATGATTGGGTACGAGAGGAATTCGATGGCTTAGTGGAGCCCCAGAGCTCAATTCCGTAAGTCCAAATAGGTCTTATTGTAGTCATGTATATGAGCCTTTTGTAATTAACTGGAAGCTTAGAGCGTTTGTCTAGTAAGTTTTGGAGTAGTCGGAAACGTCGAGCGGTTTCTTGTCGTTTCAGTCTGGTATGAGGATTCCAAGTTAGACGTTTGTCCAAGTGAAATCCAAGGTATCGGATTTGTTCAACAGGGATAAGTGGGCTATTATTGAAGGATACTGTGGGACATGAGTTCATAGGTTTACGTCGAAGGGTTAAGGTGCTTTGATGGGATTTATTAGAATTTATTTTAATCCTCCAGTTTCGACACCATTCTTCAAGGCTTTCAAAAAAGATAAAAAGAAAATAGCATCATTGAAAGGAACCATTACAGATATAGTTTATGTTTAAACTATTAGTTAAATATAATATTTTCGTAAATTACCGACGTAATAGTAAAAATAAATAAAAATGTAACAAGAGTAAATGTAAAGATCAATTATATTATAACAATATTTATGTTCATCATATATAATTATGCTTCAGCATCGATTATGTTACTAACCTCCATGTTTCTGGTCACAGAACATATTGCGAGCGAGTGTTCAGGGACTGCAGGCTCCAGACTTGCTATGTCCAATCTCCGGCGTATCCTGGGATATACCCGCGCCATCTCCACTGCACCTATAAGCTCAACACCAGGCAGCCCTTCATCAAGCTGTACATCGAGAACGAAGAGTTCAACATCGACGGTCAGAGGTGTGAGAACATCATGACCTGCCCGATGAGGCCGATATCCTCAGGTGAGAATACCTCTATTTTACACTTGTCATAGTTTTCATTACAAACATTTATATATATATATATATATATATATATATATATATATATATATATATATATATATATATATATATATATATATTAATAAAATGCATGAACATTAGAGCTACATTACAAAGCTCTTGATTTCGTCTCTTTTTTTTTTCCAACTCAAGCAATTCAATAGAATTTCAATATCAACTGAACTACAAGAAATTACTGAATTTCTTCCTCATATTTTGTTTTTTGACATGTTGTAACCTGTTTCCAAATTTAATTTACCTCCAAAAAAGGCAGGATTTAAAAAAACATTCACTTCTATTACAAAAATGTTATTCACTCTGAAACATAAGAAAAATCACAGCACATGGCGTTCACATTTTGACGAAACACGTCCCCATATTTAAAAATATATTTCTCAAACGATCGCATTCAACAGAAGAATTACTTCGGGCTCAAATGTCAAAAACGAAAAAAAAAAAAACTCGACAGAAATCACTGAACTATATTTTATTTAAATCATCAAAACATGTAAACTGAACTGAATACAATCACATTCCATCTTAAATCCATATGCAAATATACACTTTATAGATTCATTGCTCAGGGAAAAAGACACACTTGAAAAAACTACAACCGTTTCAATTAGGTATTGAAACGGAAAAAACTTTAATTTTTAAAGAGCTTCGGTTTCACTAGAATTTTTATTGTTGATAGTTCTCAGTTCTGTTGAGACTATAAATTTTTCCCTAGCAACTTTTGAAGTACAGATTTTACAAAACTTTTATAAAAGTTCTGTCAATTTCGCTAAAAAGTGTGTTTAAAAATAACTTTTATTCATTACTGCTGAAAAAAAGACACATTAGAATAATCTAAGCTCAACTATCTAAATAAACTCTAATCTAAGCCCAATTACTGTTTATTTTACATCTAACGGAACTTCTTTTAAAACTTGAATAAATACTTGTTAAATTTTTAGTATAAACCTGGACCTTTATCACAAAAAAGTCCCTAAGAAATTTTATTTCAAAACATTTTTTCCTAAACAGTTTCACTGAAACTATTAAAATTGAATCCATCATTCATCTGAATTCAACCCAAAATTTTAGAAGTAATAGTAGACCAAGGAGCTTAAGTTACTACACTCTACTTCTCGATTTACAACAACCATCGACAAACACATACGTACTCTTAATTCCCGTTTCGATAATAAACTTTACGGACACAACTACAGACTTATTAACGATATTTCTTCTGCTTTGATTGCTATTAATGCGGAGAGCGATGTAGCTCAGTGGATAAGTACTGATTTCCAGAGCTCAAGTTCTCAGGTTTGAATCCTATGACTAGTACGAATGACTAGTAATTTTTCATCAGCCGTGGATCGACCCTGGTGTCGGGAGAACCCACTTGTTTGGGCACACTCGGTCTCTATAAAGTGGGTACACTCTTAATTAAATAATTAATTAAGGGGGAAACTTGGTGGTTAAGCGTGATTTCGGCCCAATCACCTCCCTACATAACCGTTGGCCTTGTAACAATACTTCCTCACGTATTATTGAACCCAAGATCTTTCATGGGCTGTAGTGGTACAGTTTTGTTTTTTATATTCAACCGTGGAATGCAATTTTAAGGAGACCTCTAAAACCGGAACCATTTAACTTTTTTTAGAGATCCAAAATTTTAAAAATCGGTTTTAAAGCGATGGTTTCGTCCTGTCTAAAAAACAACCCCGCATACCGAATTTCAGCCCAATGAATCCTGTGGAGGATGCTGTGGTTTCAAAATTTAGAGAATAAAGAATGCATATTTATTTTAAATCTTCCCTACCTTTTAATTAATACGGCTGTTTACAGTATTTGAATATTAAGCATGTCTGCATAACATTTCACTTATACTGGAAAAGGGCCTCACATTTTTGTATAGAGATCTGGATGCAGCATAAATGTTGACATGTTTCTCTTTTCATCTACCCCATCTCAGATAAGAGTTCTCTTCTAGGGATTTTTTTTCGTTACGAGTAATTTCAAATCGATTCGTTTTCTATGAAGACATCTTATAGACCACTTCCATTAGATTTCCGGTCCTAAAGGACTGAAATATATATATGTCCATTTTCTATGTGACGCAATTGTTCTCATTCAGAGACTTATTTAATTCTTTCAGTGATGACAAAATTTAAAATATTACCTTCTTCATCAACGCTTTATTTAAATAAAACCACTTCCAGTTCTTAACATTTACTGCTGCTTCAGGATAATGTTTTTACATTTTTTCTTTTCCTGAAATTCGTTGAAAAGTACTACTTCGACTAAAACTAAGGGAAAAGTGATAATGAACTGGATGAGGATTCCTTCGTGACCACGAATCATTAGTGAGAAGGAGATTAAGTGTGCTACCCTCCTCCACTTCCGGTAACTGCTACCGTCATTTATATTCACTTGATATATTTTAATCTGAAACTCTAGAGTAATTCTTAATGGGATGTTAGGAAAGATATGTAACATATTATTAATTAGAAAAGTTTAAAAATGCTATATTGCATAGAATCTAATGAATCATTAAAAAAATTATATAATAAATTATAAATGAAATTTTAGAAAGCTTCATAAGAAAAAAACAAATATGTATTGAGAAAAATAAATTAATACATAACGAATATTCGAAACAAAAACTTTAAGAAAATTTCCTTACAAGTTTAATTTTCTAATCATTTCTATTAGTTACATCAGACGACATAAAATCTTTACTGAAAACATACAAACCTATATGGATGCTATTTGATGAAATTAATATGGAGTTATACCAACATATAGAACTAATTTTTATTCCCTGATATATGAAACGTGATGTTTCTTTTGTTTAGAAAAAAAAAAACATCAAATAATAATATAATAGCTTTGCTGGAATAGAAAATAATACTAAATAAAATTTCTGATCGATACACCTTTAGATCATCTACAAAACATTTCATAGAAAAATCCTCTTACTTTTTGTAATTTAAAATGAGAAAAAAAATATTGATTAAAAAGAAAATGAGTGCATATGGAACTTCCAGCCTTTTCAGTATATTTCATTCTGTTGTTACGTCCTATAACGTATTCAGCAATGTTTACCTGTTTCAGACTAACTTCGCCTTGACAGACAGCCTGCACTCGTATTCAAAATTAATGACATTAAACTCTAATGACGCGATCGTGTTTGAACCTGTCGGGATAAATAAATTAAGATTGTAAATTACTGAGACTTGTTGTAGTCAAAGTTCGGAAATTTTTCATGAACATTGTCCTCTTGATGCTTTGAAAAATTAAAAAAAAAAAACAAGAATCGTTTAATTAATAAAAAATTAAGAATCTAGATAAATATTAATATATGATCCATTCAGCCGTCCATTGAAGCCACACAAGATAACTTAAATAAAACGTGCTGTCATATGACGTGCTGTCATAACACAAGATAAAAACCTAATCAGGAAAATAACATATATATATATATATATATATATATATATATAAATATACGCGAATTCTATGCAGTCATTAGAAAGGATATGTTAGGATATAAAGCGATAAATACTCAAATTCGAGTCGGGAAAGACGACATCACTACGGCCTCAAAAAAAAAAAAAAAAAAAAAAAGTAGAAGATTCATCTGAAAAGATTCTTTCCAGTTACTTTTCAATAGAACAAAAAAGATGTGGACTACACTAAGAACCTCGACCCACAAGAGGTTGAAAAACCAGATATACTAGATTCGGAAATATCTATCGAAAGGTTTAAAACAAGTAAGACTCCAGGGATGAAAAACCTATCATCATCAGAGCTATTCAAAGATGGGGAAGACTTAAGAAAATTTGAGGGACAACTAATCTAGAAAGCATGGAAAAAGGAAAAGATTCCAGAGACTTGGAACCCAGACATAATCTGTCCTATACTAAAGAAAGAATCCACGTATGAGTGTATTAATTAAATAGGCATTGCACTCATTCCTGGCACAGCCTACAAGATAATGACCAATGCCCAACTAAACCGAATATATCATATCACGAAATCATAATAGACGACATGGAAGATAGATTCAGAGGAAAAAGGAACATGAAAAGGAATCATCATCCTCAAACAAGTATTAAAATATATATATATATATATATATATACGCAAATTTATAAAATTTACAAATCTTAAAGTATATACGCCCTTTAAAATCGTAATTCAATATTTCAATGTTTGTCCCTGATTCTCCAAAAAAAAAAAAGCTACAATATGACGGTAGTGAAAACTGGAGCTAAAAAATAAAAGTCCTTGTTTTACCGAAGGACTCTTCAACATTTTAAATTCCACTCTCACTACGTTAAGACTCGTTAAACATAAGAGTAAGTTTTAAAAAAGAGGAGTATGGTAAAGAAAGCTGCTATTGCGGTTCGTAAGTTCGTTGTCCTATATGTATGGAATATCTGTTATATTGAAATATATAATTTATCCTTATTTCATTAAAACTATTTCTTCAACCTTTACAAAATTTACGTGAAACTGATGTATTTGCTTACAATTTTCTAGATTTAAGCTCCTATCTTTTGGATATTAGCATGATCATATAAATCCTAAAGCTTTTCTCAATAAACGGTCTTCCAAACGCAAAAAAAAAAAAAAAAAAAAATGTTTTCAAATGGTACTGGTTGTTCTAGAAATCATCGCATTTATGTTGGATTGAATTCATCTGAATGTAATAAATAGTGTAGATAAACTAAAAATTGTATACGATTTCATCTTTAATAATTGTCAGTTGATGGAATCCGCAATAATCGTCCAGATCAACATGAACAACCGATTTTCCATCCATTGTATGTTGTCGTGTCCTACCTCTATTGTTGATTTTACGTGATATTACTACTGAAGAGAATTGTAGCATTATTATACTGTAGTTGCTATTTGTGTGATTCTATTATGACATAGACCGATGGATCTCGTACATTAAACATTAC